ACGGCCCTTTTTGGGGGTTCTTCAGAGCCTTTTCTTCATTTTCTGCTCCAAAATCCCCCAAATTTGACCCAAAATCCCCAGAATTCACCCCAAAATCCTGAAAATTCACCCCAAAATCCTGGGAATGACAAAAATCCTCAAAATTGCCCAAAAATCCCAAAAAAAACGGGGCAAAAATGCCCCAAAACGGCCCCAAAATCCACCCCAAAGGAGCTTTTTTGGGGGTTCTTCAGAGCCTTTTCTTCATTTTCTGCTTTAAAATCCCCAAAATTTGACCCAAAATTCTGAAAATTCACCCCAAAATTCTGGGAATGACAAAAATCCCCAAAATTGCCCAAAAATCTGAAAAAAAACGGAAAAAATGCCCCAAAACGGCCCCAAAATCCACCCCAAAGGAGCTTTTTGGGGGTTCTTCAGAGCCTTTTCTTCATTTTCTGCTCCAAAATCCCCAAAATTTGACCCAAAATCCCCAGAATTCAACCCAAAAATTGGGGGTGACAAAAATCCCCAAAATTGCCCGAAAATCCCAAAAAAAACGGGGAAAAAATGCCCCAAAATCCACCCAAAAGGAGCTTTTTGAGGCTTCTCCGAAATTCCCGAAATTCTTCTTCATCTTCTACTACCTGGAGGTGCCAAAATCCCCAGAATTCACCCCAAAAATCGGGGGTGACAAAAATCCCCAAAATTGCCCGAAAATCCCAAAAAAAACGGGGGAAAAATGCCCCAAAACGGCCCTTTTTGGGGGTTCTTCAGAGCCTTTTCTTTATTTTCTGCTCCAAAATCCCCCAAATTTGACCCAAAATTCTGAAAATTCACCCCGAAATCGTGGGAATGACAAAAATCCCGAAAACTGCCCGAAAATCCCAAAAAAAACGGGGGAAAAATGCCCCAAAACGGCCCTTTTTGGGGGTTCTTCAGAGCCTTTTCTTCATTTTCTGGTTTAAAATCCCCAAAATTTGACCCAAAATTCTGAAAATTCACCCCAAAATTCTGGGAATGACAAAAATCCCCAAAATTGCCCAAAAATCCCAAAAAAAACAGGATAAAAATGCCCAAAATTGCCCCAAAATTCCTCTTGTCGAGACCTTCATCTTCTACTCCCTGGAGGTGCCAAAATCCCCAAAATTTGACCCAAAATCCTGAAAATTCACCCCAAAATTCTGAAAATTCACCCCAAAATCCTGAAAATTCACCCCAAAATTCTGAAAATTCACCCCA